GCCCGGGGCGGGGGCCGGGGCCGGGGCGGGCGCCCCTCGCGCAGCGCACAAAGCGGGCCCGGGGGCCGCGCCGGGAAGTTGGGGCGCCGCGGGCCGGGCGGCTGACAGCAGGGGCCGCGGGGAGGCCGGCTTCAGGCCCAGGCCCGGCCCGCCGCCTCCCCCGCGAAGTTGCAGGAACTTTCCCCGCGCGGGCCCCGGAGAGGCGCGAGCGGCGGCCCGGACGCCGGCGGGCCCGGCCAGGGGGGCGGCCGGCGCGCCCACTCTCCGTCGCGGCCCCCGAGCCCCGGGACGCGGTCCGGGCCGGGTAGGGTGGGGGGACCCCGGCCGGTTACCCGCACCCCCCGCACCCCACCTCCCCTCCCTCTTCGCCCCGCGGGGGTGGGTGACAGAACGGCGTTGGTGGGGGTGGGGGTGTTGTTGCCGGTTGGTGCCCCGTTCCCCCCCTCCTCTGCTCCAGACAGGGACGCCCCGGGTTCGACTTGACCTTATGCTCTCTGGGGGCCGTGGGGTGGGGGAGGTAGAGCTGGGCCCTGGCCCGCGGCTGTGACCTGGCCCTATGCCCAGTTTTCAAAGCGAGGCCCCTTCCCACCCAGAAGTAAATGGGAAGGAGGAAGAGGAGGTGCCCGCGGTGCCCAGACTGCTCCAACAGGTTCTCACGTGTCGGGGCCTGGGCAGGACGGGGGGCCAGGGGCCGGACAGGGGCTGGCCAGGGCTGTGTGCCCTCTGTGGCTGCCCCTCGGACCCAGCGCCAGCAGGTGGTGGGTGCTGGTGTGTGCTGCTGGGTGGTCCCCAGTCCCCAGAGGAGAACCTCCCACTCATCTGAAGGGTGGATGGGCTGGTGGCCCTGCCGGTTCCCATGTTGAGAACCCAGGCAGCCCAGTGGGACAGGAGCTGCCCAGCTGGGTCGGCGCCAGGCGGGGTCCCAGCTCAGTGCTGGTGACAGGGACCCTGTGAGGAGGGGTGGGACTGCTCTGGGCAGGGACATCTCCTGAAATCCCCTGGGCCTGCGGGGCTGCCTTCCTGCCTGTGGATGCCCAAGGCTGCAGAGCCTCCCGGGGCCGGGGGGGCGGGGGGCTGAACACAGGACCCTCCAGAACAGTGCAGCTGCACACCCACCCCCAGCGCCCGCGTGAAGTTCATGGCCCGGCCAAGGGTGAGAGCTGCCGTCTGATCCTTCAGGGCTGCTCAGTTCCAGAGGTGATGGCAAGCTGACCCCGAGCGCCCTGCATATGGGGGGTCCTCCCTTCTTCCCCCACCCCACCCGGGGCCTGCTGAGCTCCCTGGGTGCCCAGGTTTGGGGAAGGCCTGGGAGGACCTTGGGCTGCCGAGGGGCCCCCTCCACTGGGTTGGGAAGGCAGGCGAGGTCTGAGCTAGACTTTGAGACTTGGTGTGAAGGGCAGGCAGTGGAGAGGGGCTGAGGGCTGGCATGCCTGGCGGGTGGCATTTGCTGGACTGGCCAGGGCAGAGTTGGGGGAGAGGTACGTTTGGGTAAGCCTTATCTCTTTTATTTCTCAGTTCTCAGTGGAGGTCTTTGATTTGATCCAACGTCGGCACAGGTCATTTCATCAGCCCAGATTCATTTCCACCCACATGGGGTGGCCTTGGGGTCTGCAAGGGGCTGTGTTTTCCCCCCCTCTGTGGGCACATTTTCTGTGCATCTAATCAAGGGCTCCTTGCAGGAGTGAGCCCTGAGACTGTAGCTTTCCCAGGTGGCTCAGTGCAGGTGCCAAGACGGGGCACGCAGGGTCAGGGGTTGGGCCTGGGCCATGTGTGGCCCTCCCTCCCCACCCCTGCATGGACCCCCCTTCTGTAATGGGAAGGTGTATGATGATCCCTGTGCTGCCCCATCTCCAGGTATTTCTGGCTGACCCAGACTTTCCAGATCCACGACCCACCTGTACTCTTGTTTACTTTGTGTTCAGCAGCTCGACTCTTTTATTTTATTTTGTTTTGCTTTATTTTATTTATATTATTTTGTTGTTTTTAGAGCGAGGGAGGGGGTGAGGGGAATACTGAGCAGGCTCCATGCCCAGTGCGGAGCCTCACATGGGGCTTGAACTCATGACCTGAGCCAGAAATCAAGAGTTGGACACTTAACCGACTGAGCCACCCAGGCACCCCCTCGACTCATTTTTTTAAAGTTTAAATACTTTATAACTTTTTATTTTAGAGAATTTTGGACTTAAAGAGTTACAAAAATGGTTGTGTTCCTATAAGCGTCATCCTGCCTCCTCTGAAGTCAGCACCGCCCCAGACCATGCTACAAGCATGGAAACTGAGGCAGAAACGTGGGGGCAGCGCTGTTAACCAAACTGTAGGCCCTAGCAGGTTACTTAGCTAGGTTTTCCCTGTGCTGCCCTTTTTCGTTCCAGGACCCCATGGTGCATTTCAGTCTCCTGAATATTTCTTTTAGAAGGAAACTTCGTATCATACCCTGAAATAGCACATTAGTGTAACTCGCCACAGACAGTACCTGTAAAAATAAACATAACTGTTAATAACAGGCTCCGGCTTGTCCCACCTGTGACCCCTCACGTCTCTCCAGGGCACCTTGTTTTGGGGGGACTGGGAAGGGTCTCTGTGGTTACCCACACTCAGAGTGGCCCAGACTTTGCTGGGAGGACTGCAGCAGTGTCCCCAGGCTAGGGCGTGGTTGGGGCAGCCCCATTCTAGGGGCAGAGCCTGCTCCCAGGGTGTGTTTGCCTCTCCAGGAAGCCCCAGGCACCCTGAGCGGCGGTCCCGGCGTTCCCCAGGGAGGCCTCTCTGCTGCACTGGGCTGGAAGTGTGGTCAGCCAGGAAGGCAGGAGCCCGTGTGGCCCCCCATCTCCTGGGGCCGGGGCACCTTGCCAGCCCACCCGGCCTTCACCCGCACCGGGTACGTTGCCTCGGAAGCTGGCTTTGACTAGGGAGGGAGGGAGTTTGTGGCTGGCCGCCTTGCGAACTGTCTTGTCTGTGTGTCTGGTAGGCAGGTGTGGCACCCATGGCACTGGGGACCTTTTTCCTCCTGGGTGGGCCAGGCAATGGGTGGCCTGTGTCTTCCACCAGACCCCGCGTGTCTCAACCCCGGCCTGCGGTGAGGTGTGTGGCCGCTGGGGCCGGTCGCTGTAGGGAATGACCCAGCGTCTCACCTTGTCACCACCCAGGTGTGAAGAGTCCCTGTCTCTGGGCAATGGGAATGATTCTGTTAAAGTATCAGACATCCCAAAGCTTTCTGGTCCCCTTTCAGTCGCCTGTTCTGTTGATTCCAAGGCGCTTTGGAGGCCTGATCGGTAAAATTGATTTTAAGGAGCTTGGAAGCTGGAGGTGCCGTGCGAACCTTTCGGCGACAGAAGTTTCACTGACTTCGTGGTGAATGTTTCTGGGTGCACATTCTGTGTGGGGTGCAGAGGTTCCTGGGCTCACAAGGCAGACCCGTCTCCTCCTATGGGGTTTCTTCGACCAGAGTCAGGCTTGCACATGAGGAGCTCGGTGCCAGCCTGGGGGGCCCTGCCTCAGTCCTGAGGGAGCCCCGTGGGGCCAAGACCAGGCGTGAGGCAAGGAGGCCCATCAGCCACGGCCTTAGGCCTTTGATGTGTCCAGGAGGGGGAGCCTGGCTGGGTCTCTGAGCCCAGGAGCGAAGGGGGAATTTGATAGGGTTCCTCTGCTGCCATGGGGCTGAGGGCGGGGCCGGGAGCCGGTCCCCAGGGGAGAGATGGTGGGCATGAGGGTGGGGTGCGTTCTGGCGTGGCTCTCTGATTCCTGCTTGTCT